TGGAATTGGAGCCACGGGAGAAGAATTTCCGGGGAGAACTCACCCAGGCTATCATGGGCATGGCAATGTGTCCCTGACCCCCAACAGAACATATGTCACTAGGGGCTGATGCTGTTCCTCCCAGACTCGGATGCATCCTCCCCAGCACCGAGCTGCCCAAACCCTGGCAGAGCCTGCCTCTAGCTTCTGATTTTGTGCTGTTTCTTTCTGGGCTTGGCTTCATCTCTCACACTTGTGTCCACTTTTTGTGAACATTTTAGAGTGTTATTACATTTTAAATTTTCAAATTTAAATGCATACATTTAGGGACACCTGGGTGGCTCAATTGGTTAAGCATCTGCCTTCTGCTCAAGTCATGATCCCAGGGTCCTGGGATCAAGTCCCGCATCGGGTTCTCCGCTCAGTGGGAAGCCTGCTTCTCCCTCTCCCACTCCCCCTGCTTGTGCTCTCTCTCTCTGTCAAATAAATAAATAAAATCTTAAAAAAAAAATAAATGCGTACATTTAGAAATTTCATTCACTAATTGCTAGTCAAATTAGAATCCTTCATAGAGAGGAACAGTACCTTTTTTCTGAATTTTATATTTACATTCCTTCCTAGTTTTCTTTTGAGTTCTTTGTTTTTTGCTTCTTGATGTGGTGATATATATGTATATGATAATATATATATCATATACATATATATCTTCTATTTGCTTGAAGTACTTCTCCCAATTTCACAAAAGTCCTTAAGTTTTGGATGTTTTTTATTACAAAGTTTAATTTTAACATATATATATAAGTAATTTATTTTATTTTTGGTTGTAAGAAGGACTTTCTTGTCCCCAGGATGTAAACATAATCTATATTTTCTTCTGAATTTTAAAATGATTTTATTTCCTACTCTTAGAGTCATTAATACATTTGGAATTCATTTTTGTTAATTGTATGAAATGAAACAGTATTATTGTTTTTGGAGAATTGAGCTCCTTATAACAATACAGTTGAGAAGTTCACTAATTTCCTACTGATCAAAAAACACTAATTCAGCCCTCTTTTTCACCCTCTATACCCTCCCCCTAAGGCATACCATCTCTTTCCATATTTTAATGCACATTGACAAGGCTCAAATATTCCTCTAGCCCCCGCCAGACATTCTGTCCTTTCAGTTGCTCAAACTAAAAACCCTGCTTTATCCTGGGCTCATCTCTTCATCTCACACCTCACAACCAATTTAAGAGCAAAGCTCTGAAAATATGTACAAAATCTGACCATTTCTCACCACTTCCATTGTGACTGCTCTAGGCCACCATTATCTCTCATCTGGACTCTTCTAGAACCCTCTTCCCAGTCTGTGCCCCTCCTCTCTTACTCTGCAGTCTCATCTCAGCCAGCAGTCAGAATAATAATACCTAAAAGTGAGTCGGATCCTGTCATTTCTTTGCCCCAAAGCCTCCCCCTGCTCCACATCCCACTCTGGAGCCTGGGATGAGTTCTCCTTGCCTGGGATCCTCTTCCCTCTTTCGCTGATACGGCTATGTCTGTCATTGAATTCACATCTTTGCTCAGTTGTCAGCTTCTCATAAGACCGCAGATGAAACTCTGGCCCCATTTTAATCCACCCGCCCTGTTCAATCTATATTTGGGTCATGCCATTTACCAGCTCTTTCACCTAGTAGTTACTTTCTATTATGTTTATTGTTTATCACCACCCAGAATAAAAGCTCCATAAGAATAGGAATTTTGTCTGTTACTGATACATCCCAAATATTAGAAGAGTGCCTAATAACCAATATCAGTTGGCCAGTGTTTTTTGAGTGAATTATTGATTGAATAGCCTGCTGAACATTTCCTTCACATCCTATAGTCATTTCACATTCTATGTGAAATTCCATGTATTCTGCCCAAAGTGTGTTATCCACTCTTCCAAGCCAGATGGCTAAGAATCCATCTTCTTCAGCAACCCCTTTTCTTCATTCCGACTCTCTCCTATGCCCACAACCATGCAATCTGTTACCAATTCCTGCTCCTTAATTTCTGCTCTCCCTCCGCCTACTAGCAGTCACTGTTAATGACCTAGTTCGAACTCACATTTTTAACATTTGCAGGTGTCTTCACATTCTCCCAAGTCTTCAAGCCTCCAGTCTATCCCTGTGTGATTCCTCCCTCACGTGACAGCCAGAGCTCTCAAACCCACACTTGTCTCTTCCTTACTTAAAATCTTTCCGTGGCTCTCCATTGTGTTTAGAACAGTGTCCATACTGCACCTGGTTTGTGAACACGCCCACGATCTGCCCACGATCTCTCCACGATCTGCCCATGATTTGCCTACGATCCGCCCCATGACCTGCCCCACTATCTGCCCATGATCTGCCCACGATCTGCCCACAATCTGCCCCATGACCTGCCCCACGATCTGCCCCATGACCTGCCCCACGATCTGCCCCATGACCTGCCCCATGATCTGCCCCATGATCTGCCCCACGATCTGCCCACAATCTGCCCCATGACCTGCCCCATGATCTGCCCCATGATCTGCCCAAGATCTGCCCATGATCTGCCCCATGATCTGCCCCATGATCTGCCCAAAATCTGCCCCATGACCTGCCCCATGATCTGCCCAAGATCTGCCCATGATCTGCTCACAATCTGCCCCATGATGTGCCCCACGATCTGCCCATGATCTGCCCCATGACCTGCCCCAAAATCTGCCCCAAGATCTGCCCATGATCTGCCCACAATCTGCCCCATGATCTGCCCCACAATCTGCCCATGATCTGCCCTATGATCTGCCCACGATCTGTCCCATGACCGGCCTCACAATTTGCCCCATGATCTGCCCAAGATCTGCCTACGATCTGCCCCATGATCTGCCCACAATCTGCCCCACGATCTGCCCCACGATCTGCCCACAATCTGCCCACGATCTGCCCGTTCTTCTCCCCAGCCATGCCTGGAAGTATCCCGGTATCTCCTTGGAAGTTAACCCAGTAGACCTGTTCTGTCTTCCAGACCTATCAGTGCACATGCTCCGCCTTCAGCCTGCAATGACCCCTTTCCCCTTGGTGCTCAGAACACACTAAGACAGAATTCAAGTTCTGAGTCTTAAATAAGATGACCTGCTCTGCTTCCATTCCCTTGGCATTTGGCATTTGTGTTGGACTCATTGGCTTACTTACCAATCTCCCCACACAATTAATTTTCCCAAACAGGAATTGTCCTTTGCCTCTGAATGTCCGGTACAAAGCACAATACAGGGCATAGGGTCATCACGAGATAAATGTTAAATTATCATGTAAAGAGCAGTAGACAGAGTCCTATCTCTTCCTCTTGCCCCCCTCTGTAAGATGGCGATCTTGGGTCATGGGATGCCTTAAAAAGTTGAAACAGCATGGATATTTGGAGTCAGACATACCTGTAGGGGACCTCTAACTCTGGTGGCCTGCCATAGTGAGGGAGAGGTGACCACAGACTTCGGAGCCATGAAGCTTTAAATCCCAAATCTACCTTTACTAACGGGGTGGGTTTGGGCAAGCTTCTTAACGTCTTTCTGCGTCTCTCTTGATATGAGTTTAACAGTAATTCCTGTATCATATACTTATTTCAACAATTTATTTTTATTTTATCAACCAATTTAAGATTGCTTATTTTTCCAATTGGACCTCTTCCAAGGTATCCATAAAACAGGAGATAGATGTATTCAGGGAGTCATTCTTGCCTCTTTTTTTCCCACTAGGAAGTGCTAAGGAATATGTCACAGCTCACTCACAGACCTCCTATTGGCTACAGGGCAGAAGTCTGCTGATGTATCTGCTGTTTCTCCCTTTCTCCCGTGTTCTCAGGTCCAAGAGGCTTCCTGCCCTGCCTGTCCTCTCCGGGAGAGATGTGAACGTGGAGGCACAGATTAAAAGAAAAAATGAAATGTAAACTTTGGCTCCCTAATTGGACATTTCTGGCTCATACTGTAGAGATCAGGAATATAATAGGGAGAAGAACCTGTCCTTCCCACTCCAGGCCCTATTACTTCTTGAGAAGTCATCCCTTGAAGTCAAAACACTGTTGTGAGTTCAGGAATCAACACTTGCAGCCATTGAGTGGTGCTGCTGGCCCTATTCAATCAGCCTGGTCCCAGAAACCTTCTTACTGGTGCTTTGTCTCTCCGCATAACATCACTCCTACAAGCCATTCCTCCTCCAAACTCAGCTGAAAGTACAAAATGCACAGTAGTGTTGACAAAGTGATGAGAGCAAGTCTGCACAGACACACTGGGGAGTGGCAAGCAGAAGGCCGGGCGGCTTGCTCCAAGCCTGGAGGGACACTGGCCGGGAGCTTCCCTTTTCTGGAACGAGGAGTGGCCACTGGGGTCTGACAGACTGAGGCTCGACCTACCCATCTGTGAGGGGCTAAATTGGCAGGGAAAAGGGAGGGGCCGGAGCACCACCTCTCCGGGGAAGAGATTAAAACAGCTCGGTGGGGGGAAGTGACAGCAAGCACAGGACATGTGCGTGCCCTCAAGGGCTCATCAGTCAAGGACAATTCCATCAGATTTCATCAAATGACATCAAAAGCTCCTCCAAGCACTCATTGAGGAACAAAGCGGTGAGGAGTGAGGATTCCTGGGGGACAAGAGAAGGGGAGCTACTTCTGAGGGCCAAATAAAAGCAGGCTAAGACTTAGAATCTGTTCCTCCCGCCAGAGATGCAAGAGACCGTGGGCTGCACTGGCATGTCCATCCCAAGGAAAAAGCTAGAGGCAGGGCCGACTGCCCTGCACCTGACACAGAGAGGAGCGGGCGAGAGGAGAGTTTCTTCAGTTCCAAAGGTTTGGTCCCACCCGGTTTCATTCCGCTGTTTCCACTAGATACCTTGGTCCTTCACCTTCTTCTGGATTATAGATTGGGACCCACAGGGTGCATATGTAAAGCTCTAGCCTTAGATCTGGGGGACGTTTGCTTTCGAGAATTGGAAGACACCGAGGCTCTTCACAATACTGAGGTCCAGATCAGAGGACCGGGGACGCAGGCTATTTCTTGTGGGCATGATGCCTTCGGGAATGCCCTTGCTCCCGATTCTTTGGGGTTTTTGATTTTGCACCAATGGAAAATGAAGAGGCTGATGATCTGAAAAGTCCTCTCCCAGCACAACCCTGGGCAGGTGGAGAGGGCATCCCACAGCCGAGGCTGCTGCTTGTCATTACTGGCCCAGGGACGGGGGTGCTCTGAGCAAAGGGGGCCATGCAGGGGCCCCCAAACATAGTTTTTCTTGCAGAAACGCTGGCCCTCCCCAAGACAAAAGGTGAGCTCTGGTTGGTCAGGCCCGGCGTGTTCCGGCTCCAGGCTTTTCCAAAGGGTGTGAGGGTGCCAGCAGTCTGGCTTGGCCCTGCTCCAATGCCGGATGCCCCAGAGTTGGAGCTCCTGTCTGGGGCAGTGGCACTGATCCCAGACTCCCCACAGTCCATAGGGGTCACTGATCCCCCAAAGGCAAAAGGTCGTGGGGCTGTGCTGCCTAACACTGAGCCACAAGCGCCGTTCCCGTGCGTCTGGGCCACAGCCCCAAACCCAGTGGTACCAGCTGGACCGAAGGGGAACCCTGCTGGAGTGCGGCCAAAAGTCGGCAAGATGACGGCAGGGAGGCGACGGGCGGAGGCGGAGGGTGTCAAACGCCCGAGGTGTGAGTGCGAGGCGCTGCTGAAGGCTGGCTGAGCTGCAGTGGGGGTTGGGGTGGGGGATGCCACGGCTGAGCTTCCAAAACGGAAAGGCCTACTGAAGCTTGGGCCAAGGGCTGGCTGGGGGGCCCCTTGCTTCTGCCCACCTGTAGCCCCCAGCGCCGGCTGGGGAGTGGCTCCGGGGGAGAGCGGGAAGGGTGGCCTCGAGCCTGAGCCCAAGGGAACTGCGAATGCTGAGGTCGGACTGGATATGCTGGAGGATAACGAGGCCTGGTGTGGGGTTACCAGGGCTGAAGCTGCCAGAGGACCGCCCACAGCCCTGAAATTGGCAGTGCTTTTACTAGGGGATATCTGGACAGCGCTGGAAAGGACCTGGCTAAAGATGGTGACCGCGTGTACGGTAGGAAGGCTAGCACGCTGCTGGGCTGGGAAAATGAAGCTTGTGGCCGGGGCGAAGCTGGCCCTGAAGGTGTGGCAGGCCGCCGGGATGCAGTAAGTGCCGTGCGTGCCCCTGGTGACGTTCACTACGCCCAGATCCAAAGGTGCCACGAAAGCAGAGTCTTTGGATGTGCTGGCTGGGGTGGCGGACACGACGACAGAGGTAGCTTGGACCAGGCCACGGAGCAGATGGGTAGAAGCGGCAGGAGCCAGAGGAGAGGCCTGCTTGAGAGAGAAAGGCGCTATGACGGGCGTAGTTCTAAGGGGTCCTATGCCGCCAAAGATAGGCTTGAAGGTGGGAGTCAAGACGCTTGGAGCTGAAGATGCTGTAGCGGTGACTGAAGTTCCGGAGTGTAAGGAGCCTCCGGTCTCACTCTCGGGTGGGAGCCCCCAAATGGGGTTCCACGTGGGGCCCGCAGAAGCTGCGACAGGAGGTGCAGATGCAGGAAGATGGGGAGCTGGGCTGCTCATTCCAGACAGAGGACTCTGCACAGTGAGCCCTGCAGGGCTGAGGGCAGGCAGCCTCGGGGGCACGGTAGTCCTGTCAGCCTGAGAGCTTGCAGGGGGCCATGCGGCGTCAGTGGCCGGTGACGTGGGAGAAACAGGGGTCAGAAGGATGAAAGCTGCCGTGGGCCTTGAGTCTGAAGAGGTGCCTGGAAGGGGCTCGGACCGTGAGCAGCCTCGGGAGGACAGCAGGCCATGCTCCTTCCCAGCGCATTGGGCTATACGGACTCCGTCTTCAGGAGATGGTGGGAGGGCCAGGGGAGACCTCTGCATTCTTGTTAAGCTTTCCAGCTGTGGACTTGTGCCCTGGGTTGGAGCTGGGCCTGCGGAAAGCAGGGTGAGAGACAGGGAAGGCTGGAGAGCAGAGCACGTCTCAGAGGCAGAGTCTCTGGTGACCTCAGTTGTCTCCTCTCCGGCTCTATCGCTCCCCTGGAGTCCACCTTTCTGCCCTAAGGCCAGGTCCTCTTCAGGGTCTGCATCACCAAGCTGGGGAGGTGGGGTCAGTGACAGCAGGTCCCCGGGACTAGAGAGTGGCCGTGGAATCTCCTGACTCTGCTGCCCAGAGCTGCCAGTTGATGCTGGGGACTCGTCTGATTCCAGTGGGACTGGGGAGTGAGGCTGATGACCCTTTTCCTTCCTTTTTACTGGCCATTCTGGTGTCTGCAGGGATGCACTGGGAACACTTCTCTTCCAGGGCTCAGAGAAAGCTCTAGAAGAGCTGTAAGAACTTGTGATAGCATTTCTTCCGGAGCCGAGCGGGCTGCCTGTGCTGGCCAAGGAGCTCACGGAGGAGCGACTGGGCCTCTTATTCGGGCTGCGACCGCAGCTCCAGGACTCGAGGCTTCTCTTCAGAGGCCCGGGCCTGGGCACGAAAGAAGTGAGCACTCCATTTTTCACCAGCGGCTTAAACGCGGATGGTCTGGTGTCCGGACTCCTTCTCTTACTGTGCGAGCCGTCGGGCAACAGCGGTTCTTCAAACCTCACTCTCCCTTTCTTGCACTCTCTGAGGGCCCTCAGCACCGTCTCCTTCGCACACGGGTCTGGGGGCTTCTCAGAGGGCGAAGGCCCTGCGGAGGCGATCGCCGCTGCGGGGGAAGTGGAGGCAAGCGCTCCCCGCTCAGGAGGGGCTATCCTGACGGTCACCGGGCTCCCTGCTGCCCGGGGGTGCCGAGGAGACCAAACAGTCCGCTTGACGTAACTGTCCCACCAGTCTGAGGGAAGAGGCCCCACGATGGAATTCCGGGGCCTCTCCATGGGAAAGCGCCTCCAAGCGCCATGGGCCGCGCACGCGGTGGGCCTGGCCGGCTCCCGGTGCGGCTGCCTCCTCGCACGTCTGTGCCGCAGGGCGGGGTGGGCGCGATGGACGTGCGGGAGCCGGTGGACCCGATGGAGGGGCTGAGCTGGCCGGCGCTTCAGCGGCCTCTCCGAAGAGTCTGCGCGCGTCTGCGCTGGGGACGACGGCGGGGACCCCGGCTTGCCCAGGTAACTGCCCATGCGGAGCGATGAGGCGGGTCGGTTCCCGAGGTTTCTGACTGACCCAGCCGGAGTCGGAGTGCGCGGTGTTCCGCTGACGGTTGGGATCCTGGCGCGAGGAAAGTGCGAGGGTCTCGGGGCGCTCGGCACCCTCCCTGGCCCGGCACCCACAGGTCGGCGCCCGGTGGGAACAGAGAGCGGCCCCGGCAGCCCCAATAGCTTGCGGTGCGGTTCTGAGGCTTCCGCGGGGCGCTCGG